TCCTTTTTTCTCTGCTAGACCTCGAGCTCCACAAAGCCAAGGCCCAATCATATCTTGTTCAAAGTACATGTTTGGGCATAGACTAGATGCTCAGGAAACACTGGATGAAAACCTCCATTAGTCTGTGCTTTATGTAAGAATAAGACCAACTGGGGAGGTGTGTGGGTGGGATTGGTCCTGGGGGGACCTTTTCTCAACCCCCAATGATGAGGGGAAGCTCCTAATCACTCTGTGTGTCGGGGGGCTCTGCCAGCCCAGGGGCACCTCCGCAGTGACGCTTTCCCTGACTGCCCTGGCAGAGGACCCTCCCCCTTTGCCTACACCACTTTGCATTCTGAAAGAGGCGCTTGCACAAATTTGACCAATCTTGTCCAGCTCTTTGCAGGTCTTTCAGGCAACAGTGTTGGGGTTGTCAGGGTTGCCTTGAATCAGGAAATGGCTTTGGGTTTTCTGACCAAGGACCAGAGGGTGGCCCCTCGATGAGCTTCTGACTGGGGCCTGGGTGGGAGGTCTGCAGTGCGACTGCTCAGCGGGACAGGAGGCAGAACCGGGATCCTGCAAATCCAAGGCTCAGCCGGTCCCTCTTTGCACTTTCTGTTTTAAAAGTGGCTTTATTGAAATTATTTACATAACATAAAGCTCACCCATTTAAAGTATCAAATTCAATGGTTTTTGGTATATTTACAGTTGCAGAAACATTTCTATAATCTAATTTTAGAACATTTAGAACATTCCTAGCACCCGCAAAAAAGGAACACTGTACCCGTTAGCAATCACCCCCATTGTCTTCCTCCCACCCCGATCCCAGGCACCCGCACAGATCTGCTTTCCGACTCTACAGACACTTCATGGAATCATGGAGTGGAATCACAGTGCCCGGCCTCTTTCATGTGGTGTAATGTTTTCCGGGATCCCCCGCGTTGTAGCGCGTGCCGGTGCTGCATTCCTTTCCGTAACTGAACGCTAGTACATCGCATGGACAGGCCACAGTTTATTTATCCATCGATCAGCTGGTGGACATTTGGGTTGTTGGTATTTTTTGGCCGTTATAAAGTCTTGCTGGTTCCTACAGGGCTTCTAGAGTGGGCTTCCAAGTCCAGCCCAGCCTTGCCAGGATCCTGTTGAGGAGGGACAGTTGGTGACTTTCATAAAGACCCCTCAAGGATCCTCCCGTGCATGCTGGAAACCCTCCCCCATGCAGGTGTCTTCCACACATCTTAGGGGGTGGACTTCACAGGGCTCCAGCCAGCCATGTCTGGAGGTGACGGGCTTGGAAGGCCAAACTCCCTCTTGCAGACAGTTTGCCTGGAGGGAGGACTTCTTATTTTCTATTGATTGATTAGTAGAGGTGAGATTGCTGATCTTTTTTTAAAATTTAAAACTCTTTTTATCATGGATTTTTTTTTAAGAGAT